TGGCCATTTTGTTTTGTGTTCTTTATTTTAGAGGAATCTAAAGTGGTTGTATTTTTAACTTCAAAACTTCTAACATTTTGGTTATCCTTTCAGCACTAAAAATCTAACTAAATTGAGACAAGACAGGATTTAATGTAGCGAATTGAAACTAAAGAAATCTGTCTTGGTTCCCACGTATAATCTTTCTTCGGCAGGTTTCATATTACAATTTGAGAAATTGCTTAAATGCATGGAAACACTTCATTGGCCTGCTCAAAAGCAACTGACCTTTACTCAGCCTGTTAATCAGTAAGTGAAGTCAGTGAGACGTGACTAATCCCAGAGGAACAGCTTTTGAATATACCTTAGTGTGGGTAAGACCTGGCAGTAACTGAGGATGTATTTAGCTAAAATTAAGAATGTGAAAGTCTTAATCCTTTAGTGGTTTGAAATGCATTATATACATTAAAAATAAATAAATGTCTCCATGGGAACTGTACTCAGTCAAAAGAACTATAGGCTCCAAATACAATATACCCCCAACATTTTTAGATGAGGTCAGGAATGTTGTGGTCTGATGAGAAAATTAAAATAATTGAAACCAAATGGATAAGATTAATCACCTGGGAAAATAGTCTCAGGAAAATGCCCATGTAAGAAATGACTTCTGAGCATGTTGACATTGGACTAGAAGTTCCCTAAGTCAGAAGCAACCCCTTCAAAAGAAGGTGTCGGGACTTCCCTGGTGGTGCAGTGGTTAAGAATCACCTGCCAAGGCAGGGGACATGGGTTCGAGCCCTGGTCTGGGAAGATCCCACATGCTACTGAGCCTGTGCTCTAGAGCCCGCGAGCCACAACTACTGAGCCCACGTGCCACAACTGCTGAGGCCCGCGTGCCTAGAGTCCCTGCTCTGCAACAAGAGAAGCCACTGCAATGAGAGGCCTGCACACTGCAACGAAGACCCAACGCAGCCAAAATTTTAAATAAATAAATAAATAAAACAAGGTGTCAATTTAAAATATAACAATGAACTATAATCAAGGCCATTTAAACTTTTCTTTCATGAGGAAATTTGAAATGGAAGAAAAGTCTTGGTGACTGATAAGGAGATATATTAAAGTAAGGTACTTGGAGTATAGCAATTTGTCCATTTCCCCAGTGCCATGCAATTGAGAGGATTGAAGGAGGATTCCATTCTTCTTGACAGCTCCATCCCTATAGAAGCAATGGATGCGTCTAATTATTATAATTGGATTACACTAGCCCATTAAGATAATTCAGTCCTTCATGCTTCCTTTATAAGAAAGGAGACTTTTTTTTAATATGTATAAATTTATTTACTTACTTATTTGGCTGCTGCACACCGTGTTTCTCTAGTTGCGGCGAGCAGGGGCTACTCTTCGTTGCGGTGCACGGGCTTCTTTTGTTGTGGAGCACCAGTTCTAGGCACGTGGGCTTCAGTAGTTGCGGCACACGGGCTTAGTTGCTCCTTGGCATGTGAGATCTTCCCGGATCAGGGCTCGAACCCGTGTCCCCTGCATTGGCAGGCAGATTCTTAACCACTGTGCCACCAGGGAAGTCCCCCAAAGGAGACTTTTGTCTAGCATATTTTTCATTGTGAACATTGCCTCTCAAGTCCCTGATAAGAAGACTCTATATGCACTAAGACTCTCCACCCCACTACCATGTATAGACATCCTGTAAAATATAGCCTTAGCAGCCAGCTAGCCTCTTTCTGTGCCATCTTATATAAAACATAGATATATTTGAATTGTTGCTCTGTCATTGAGAATAGACTTCTATAACTCTGCTCGAGAAAGATAGTCCTTATTTCCAAAAGGTATTAAAGAAATTAAAAGTATCTTACAGGGCTTCCCTCGTGGCGCAGTGGTTGAGAGTCCGCCTGCCGATTCAGGGGACGTGGGTTCGTGCCCCGGTCCGGGAAGATCCCACATGCCGCGGAGCGGCTGGACCCGTGAGCCATGGCCGCTGAGCCTGCGTGTCCGGAGCCTGTGCTCCGCAGCGGGAGAGGCCACAGCAGTGAGAGGCCCATGCACCGCAAAAAAAAAAAAAAATAGAACCACCATATGATCCAGCAACCCCCCCCCCCTTCTGGGTATATATCCAAAGGAAATGAAATCACTATCTCCAAAAGATATCTACACACCCATGTTCACTGAAGTATTATTCACAATAGCCAAGATATGGAAACAACCTAAGTGTCTGTCAACAGATGAATGGATAAAAAAAATATGATATATATATATATATACAATGGAATATTATTCATAAAAAAGAAGGAAATTCTGCCACTTATGACAACATGGATGGACCTGGAGGACATTATGCTAAGTGAATAAGCCAGACACAGAAAGACAAATACTGTATGATGACACTTATATGTATAATCTAAAAAAGTTGAACTCATAGAACAAGAGAGTAGAACAGTGGTTGCCAAAGGCTAGGGAGTGCGGGATATGGGTAGATGTTGGTCAAAGGGTACAAACTTCCAGTTATAAGATGAATAATTTCTGGAGATTTAATGTACAGTATGATGATTATAGTTAATAGTACTATACTGTATTACCAGAAATTTGCTAAGACAGTAGATCTTAAGTAAGGTGATGGATGTGTTAATTAATGTCATTTTGGTAATTGTTTCACAATGTATATGTATATTAAATCACCATGTTGTACATCTTTTAAAAAACCGCATTGTACAACATAAATATATACAATTTTTATTTGTCAATCATGCTTCAATAAAGCTAGAAAAATTAAATAAATAAATGGATCTTACATTTTATGTATGAAAAATCAATAATATATATAAACAATGACACCAAAAACAGAAATTAGGGAATCCATAAATTATTTTAAAAGTCTTTTTCTTATAGATTCATTATGCGTTTATTGTAAACAATAAATTGCTCTGATAGATTTCAAATGTGAATCAGTTATATATGCAACTTTTTAGAAATGTTTCTAACACTTAAAGTGAGGAATAACTTAAGAACTATGTAGAATATTTGACGATTTTGATATTTCCATTTCTCTCACACTCCACCTCCAATTTTGCTCCTTCAATATATACTCCAAATCCAACCACTTTACACCTTTACACTATACTGTTCAAAGCAACCATCATCTATCACCAGCATAATGGGTCTCCCTATTTCCTGCTTCCACTCTTGCCCTCTACTGTCTTTTCTCAAAACAGCAACCAGAGTGATTCATATTTAAAACATAAGCCAGGGTCTTACCTGGTGGTCCAATGGTTAAGAATCTGCCTTCCAATGCAGGGGACACGGGTTAAATCCCTGGTCCAGGAAGTAAGATCCCACATGCTGCAGGGCAACTAAGCCTGCGCACCACAACTACTGAGATCACTCACCTCAACAAGAGAGCCTGCGAGCCACAAACTACAGAGCCCGGCGCCCTGGAGCCCACGCGCCACAACTAGAGAGAGAAGACCTGCACACCACAACTAGAAAGAAGCCCGAGTGCTGCAATGAAAAGCCCACACATTGCAATGAATAAAAGATCCCTCATGCCTCAATGAAAGATCCTGCGTGCCGCAACTAAGACCCGACGCAGCCAAAAAAATAAAAAATAAGTCAAATCACCACTTCACTCCTCTGTTCATAACCCTGCAAGTGGCTTCCCATCTTAGTCACATAAAAAGCCAAAAATTTAATGATAGCTCCTTCCTAGCCATGCACAATTTTCCCACCTCCCTGCCCCCAACCTTTAATACTCTGGCCTCCTGTTCACTAAGGCACCAGCCACTCTCCCAACCTCAAAGCCTTTGTATTTGGTTTTCTCTCCCTATGACACTTTTCCACCAGCTTTCTCCATAGCTGATGCCCTCATCCCCTTCATGCCTTTGCTCAAATGTCACTTCTCATAAAGGCATTTCCTGACCATCCTATTTAATGTTACAACCTCCATAAACACAACTTCTTATCCCCCTTCATATTTTTTTTCTCCATAGCACTTATCACTTATACTATTTATTTTACTTACTTATTTTGTTTATGGTCCATCTTCCCTCACTAGAATGTAAGCTCCATGAGGGCAGGGATTTTTGTGTTCTTTATTCACTGCTGTATTCACACAACCTAGAACAGTATCTGGCTCAGTATGTGTTTACTGAATAAGTTAATGAATGAATGAAGCACATGAGATGATGCTTCTGACTAGGAGCACTCCTTTCCACATATGTTAATATGGAAATATTCTCTGGGTTGTTCTTTCCCTCTACCACTAGGCATTATTCTTAAGCATATTCCTGAAAAGTGTCTAAAAGTTTCCAATAACACCAGACACAGCAGCTTGATTGCTTTTAGGCATTGACCATGGGAGCATCTAACAACTGTGAACTATAATGAACTCAGTTCACATACTTGCTTCTGATGGCAACCCAAAGTGCTGACTTCTGTCTTTACAGAACTACCTGGTCCTATATTTTGCCTTCCTATATTAATAATAACAAATTAAATAAATGTGCAATTATAGTGTCAACTACAAATTGGCCCTCGCCATTGGCACTTGCCATCTACCTCTACAAGGATTAAATCAGGTGCTGCAGCAGATGCTGATTTTCAACAACCCCTGAAAGGAGTTCAGCGGGGAGAGCAGAAATGAGGCACTCTGTGCTCTGGGAAAAACTGGCAGAACAGGTTTTCAGATAGTTAGATATTTTTAGGAGCCAATTTGATGAGCCCAATTCTTGTATCTTCTCATATCCAGAAAAACACTAAAATCATTCACGGTGATGACTGCTCTTGGTGACTAGCAGAAAGCTTCTGCAAAAAAATATGCACTCGATTGCAGGTACTCCCCCCTCACCAAAATCACATATATACTGACCTTCCCCACTGCCTCTTTGGAACAGTTTCTCAGAGCTATCTGGGATGCCATCTCCCAGGCTGCAGTCCTCATTTTGCCCCAAATAAACCTTAACTTGCAACTCTCACGTTGTGCATTTTTTTTTATGTTGACAGTTATTATGGCGACCATGAAGGGACCCAGAGTGGACATCTCTCCTTCACTTGAACTCTATGAGGAACCGGAGCCTTGGTACCAGCAGAGGCTACTTGTGCCCATCTGCCTCCTTGGAGAGTCCAGACAAATTTGGGTAAGTCTCTCCTGGTTCTCAGATCTCCCGTATTGGTTGATGACCCTGAGTTTTATTTGGCGGTGTAGCAGGTACCTGCCTCCTCCCAGTTGAAAGATATTGGGGGGGCCCCTGGTTGAAAGATACCAGGGAAATACCCAGTGGAAAAATACTGGGTGGGGCTTGGTTGAAAGATACCAGGGAATATGCACCCAGGTGAAAGATAATGGGGGAGGGTTGAAAGATATCAGGGTTTGCTCAGTTGTAGGAGACTTGAGTGGTCTGTGCTGAGTGGTTAGGTAAGAGGCTGATCTGATGCTTTTCCTCAATTCAGCTGCCTTAATAGAATTTGTCGGGATAGAAATGAAGATATTACATGAGAGCTTTGCTCCAAAGAAAAGGGACAAGACTCCTCCCGGCCGGTTACAGCTTTCTCAGGTGACTGAGAAATTTACAGGAATGGTGGAGGCAGAGTCCTCATACCGTGCAGTGGTCCCATAGGGAAACCCATTCATTAATTAAACACTTGCTCGTCCAGAGGTTGCAGATAATTAGCCACTCAGCGATCCGAGCACCCGCGGTGGTCTTAGACCGCCAAAGGGAGAAACTGAGACAAGTAAGAGGGCTGAAAGGACTCTGGGGTGATGCCTAGAGGAGTTAAGCTCACAAGCAGCACCCTGGCCCACCACACAACTTTATTAGTAAATTTTATCCCTGACAAATTCAACTTTAAGCTAGGAAATAGAGCCTCTCAAACACAGAAACAAGGGGTGTCAGAAAGCCAGCCTCTGACTAACACTCCAGCCAGGTTTATGTATGTACAAAAACTCATACTTGCAAGTACCTACTTAATTGGGGAACTTATACTAAAGGAGATCTCAACCTAAAAAAACCAAATTGGGGTTCTTTTGATATTCCAAAATTAATATTTTTGCACACACAGGAAAAAAATAAAGCCGGATGTAAGATCAAAGAGACTGAATGGAATGCTTACTTTGACTGGTATCTAGAAGCTTCTAAAAGAGGAAATGATAGAGTAACTTCTTTGCAGGAAACCAATAATTAATTACTTGAAACTATATCAGACCAACTTTTCAAAACCATTAAAAAGAAAGAAAAGGAGGTATCTACGAAAATTATGAACCTTCAATTGCACCAATTAAGTACACAATGCCAGTCGAAGTTTAACCGACCCCCATTTAATTCCCAACCAGTAGAGAAAGCTAGCTTGAAGGAAAAAAAAATTCTCTTCAGAATTCTGACCCTAAGGGAATAAGTCCTACTAGGAGAACCTGATTTTCTCTCCCTGTGCCTTGAGACCAGAGGTCTCAGGAACACTTGTCTTATCTAGACCATCCCTAATTCCTGAGATTGAGAAGAAAAAAAAACTGGAAGAAGACTTTTAAAATTGTTTCTTATTCCAACTGTTATTTATAAACCAGTGAGTTTTATATTATGATACCTGATTCATGACTAAGTATAGAAAATGCAGCTAGATCTCTTGTGTCTGTTTGGATATATACATGTCTCAGTATGTGTCTTTGTCTTTGGATAATATTGCTGTGGTTAATTTGTAAATGAGCTCTATTTAATTGACTTAAAGAAAAGTAAGCGCTTACAAATCAAACAATTCTAAACACAAGAGAAATTAAGCTAAATAAATTTCAGGTTCACATGAACTGGGAAATATTCAGTATTAAATTAATATTTGGTATTAATGTTTAAGTTTGTTGGTCTAATTAATATAGACATGTTTCTAGAGTCATCAGCATTAAGTATAATACTTTTATTATGCCTAGGTGTAATATAAACTAAATAAAATCTTGTTATATCTGTTACAAATTTGTCAGCAAGGAAAGTAACTTGATGTGAAGAAACTTGTTAAGGAAAGAAAACGTAAATGAGATAAGAGCTTTCAGATAAACTCTATTAAGAATAATTTTGCTTTAAGAATGTCTATCTACAATAGTGTCTCCAGATTCTGGTAACTTGCAGTTCTAGAGTTGTGCTAAATTAAGTGATGGAAGCTTATTGAATAGCTAGGTCATTCCCAAGTAAAATAAGATACTGAAACATTAATTACTGAACATTGGCTTACTTTTACAGAGAAACAAAAGGTATTTAGGACTATTAATGAATATGTTTGGTGCCACTTTCTCTAAAGAAAGCAAGTGTTTTTAGAAAATATCACTGGTATTTATGTTCACCAATCTACAGAAAGCTAACATAAAAGACAGTTCATAGTTGCTTAAGGAAAGTAAGATGTGTGTTTTCAGTAAAGAAGGCATGAAGAATGGAATTACATTTTATTAAGGGAAAAGGAAGTAGGTCTGACTTACAGGTGGCTGTTTCTGAATGGGAAAATAAAATGCTGGATATAGAAAGTGACAAAGGGTTTGTGGAAAGAGGACCCTGAGAAAAGAGTTTTGTGCATGGTCAGGATTGACTAAGTTTAAAATAAATTTAATTGAGTAAATTAATTTTAAAAGTAAGATGGTGCAAAACTTGAATGTGGCTTCTCTCTCTCTTAAGAGGACAAGATTTCTTAAAATGTTGAACTGCCTTTGATAACAGATTTCAAGTTTTTTTACCTTTTAAGTGATCTGTTCTGTATTTGCCTTTGAAATCTTTTATTGTTACTTTGGCTAAGTGAATAACTATTGTTTCACAGTGACCTGTGATCCTACCTGACTGAGTGTTCTAAATCCTTTTTGATATTTTTTGACAAAACTTCCTAAATCAAATTCTAATGAAGTCCTTTTGACCTCTAGCTAACTTTAGGATGTTTCAAAGTGCCCCTGAAACATCCCAAAGAGAGATTATAAAATAGGTTCATTTGGTACATTGTTACATGGGAAGTATTGTCAAATGAGTAATAAATCTTCTTAGGTTTTAGTGTAAGGTAAATGTTATTATTATAGATATTCTAGAAATTATATGCAGTTCCTAAAATTCTGACATGCCCTGGTAAAATGTTATCAGTCATAATTCTAGTTATTATCTTAAAGTGTTGTACGTCACAGCATTAACCAAGTTGCTTTGTCAGTTGCATTGCATTGTAAGCAGATTTTAAACATGCCTTAAGTCTTTTGTCATTATAGACACGGTTTCACTCTGATGCCTTGGCAAAAATGCTTCCTCTTCAAGAAGATTTATAGAAAGGGCTTTTGAATAAATACAAGTTTCTGACTTTCAGACCATAATGCTGAACTGGGTAGGAAACTAAAGAATTCTAATGAAAAACCTGATGGCTTCATAAAGCTGTTAACAAAAAGTATTAGTTACATAGGACTGGGTGAACTGGTGAATATGGTTATAAATTTTATGGTTTCTATCTGAAAAATTACTGGTTTAAATCTGTGTTTTCCAGGTGTAAGGTAAACCTTCCCCTCAAACTAATTATGACTTACAGTAATTGGTAAATTATACCTTTGTAAGCAGAATTGAAACATTTATCTTTTTTATCTGTTCCCTCCAGACACTGGAAACTCTTAGGTTCCCATCAGCTTTATCAGATAAATTAGGAAGGCTACCTCACTAGTAGGTATAGAAATCTCAAGGTATTTTGGGGACCTTGAAAAGGGAAGAATTCACCTAGATTTGTTAGGTGAAATCTGTGATAAGCCCTTGGTGTGACTTTCCTAGCCCTGAGAGGTCTTTTAAAAGTCCAGTCTGAGACTCCTTATAACAGTTTCAGCAAGCAAAAAGCCTATATGATCAATTATAGTTATATAAATCATCAGGCCAAGTTTATTAGACCAGATTTATTTTGCAAACAAATTAGTCTTAATTTGGTTATATATGGTAGAAATGAGGGTAATTTTAGAGAGAAAAAGATGTTTCAATGAATGTTAAATCCCAGTTTTGTTAATGGAGGTCTGTATTTACTAACTTCCCAGATAGTTCCTTGCTGTTATGTTATATTGATGTAAAGTTAAATTGAATTATTAAAAGGACACTCTAAGTTTGTTTCTGAAGCTTATCTCAGTAATCTACCTTTGGACGAAAATCAGAATCCCCATGACTTGCAACCAGGGGATTATGCATACTGGAAGAGACGTAATCTAAAGGACTATCTCCAACCTAGATGAAAGGACACTTATCAGAGGGGAAATTACACTCACACTAGGACAAGAAGAAGATCACATCAGAAGTAGACAGGTTGCCCAAGATCCTAGACCTGACTTGTAGGATCATTTACAATATTTTCTTGACTTCTTAGAGCTTTGTATACGAATCAAATGTTTTCCTATCATGGGCACGATCCTATGCTAATTTTAAAAGTCAATCCGCACTACTAGGTATATACCCTGAGAAAACCATAATTCAAAAAGAGTCATGTACCACAATGTTCATTACAGCTCTATTTATAATAGCCAGGACATGGAAGCAACCTAAGTGTCCATTGACAGATGAATGGATAAAGAAGTTGTGGCACATATATACAATGGAGTGTTTCTCAGTCATAAAAAGAAACGAAACTGAGTTATTTGTAGTGAGGTGGATGGACCTAGAGTTTGTCATACAGAGTGAAGTGGGTCAGAAAGAGAGGGACAAATACCGTATGCTAACACATATATATGGAATCTAAAAAAAAAAATCGTTCTGAAGAACCTAGGGGCAGGACAGGAATAAAGACGCAGACGTAGAGAATGGACTTGAGGACTTGGGGAGGGGGAAGGGTAAGCTGGGACGAAGTGAGAGAGTGGCATGGACATATATACACTACCAAATGTAAAATAGATAGCTAGTAGGAAGCAGCCACATAGCTCAGGGAGATCAGCTTGGTGCTTTTTGACCACCTAGAGGGGTGGGATAGGGAGGGTGGGAGGGAGACGCAAGAGGGAGGAGATATGGGGATATATGTATATGTATAGCTGATTCACTTTGTTATAAAGCAGAAACTAACACACCATTGTAAAGCAATTATACTCCAATAAAGATGTTAAAAAAAATCAATCCAATTGTTGGTTTTGCAGCCAATTACCTGTGTCTAGTACTTTTGGGTTATCTTGGTGGATTTCTCCCCTCCAGGGCTCTAACTGGATGACCCTTAGGAAATTTATTTTAGAGGAAAGAAATTATAGTCCTGTTCAGCGGATTCCCTCACCTAGCCAATTAATAATACCTGCTCTGACCCTGGCCATAAAAAATGAATTTTCCTCTAAAGTTACTCAAGCTCAATCAGAGCAACAAGCAATATTTCAGCCAAGGAATAAAACCTCCCAAAATTATGGGATGGATTTATGTGTTAACAACAGGCTGCGGTCATTTAAGTTTTAACGCCCCCCTTTATCTTGGGAACAATCAAATTATACTAAGGATAACCAGCCTAGCAACACTAGGAAATTGGGCTGGGAGCATTATGGACCGTGTCAAAATATAATTTTCCTGAAAGATAAGGATTGGTACAGAACAGACTAAGTCAGACGACCTGAGGATATACTGGGCTGCGCCTAATGGAAGTTCTTGGCTTAATTCTTACTTATGACTTTAATAATACTGCTAGCTATGTTATTTGTATTTTGCTTGTTTTACAAGATTGTTGTTTCTGGCATTACCAAATGTGTGACTGAGCCTCCAACAAAAATACATAGTTTTATATGAGATCAATGATTGTAATAGTGTAACTCTGGATATG